TACATGGTTCACATGCATACATTGATCATACCACGTAAAACAACAATTTATTGCATAACAAATTTTCAAATAAAACCCACCTAGTAATCGGGTAGAAAAATCACACAATAGATCGGTAGGTCGGTGAGGCTCGACTCCTCAAACACCTACATTTAAGCGAGATAATAATCAAAATTTTATCTCACTACTCGGAATTAACATATAACTCACGCTTGATCAAAAATAACGATTAAGAGATTTTTATCGAATTTTTCGTGGACTTGGAACTCTCAAATTTTTAAAAGAAATGACTCGAAGGACGAAAATAACGTCTCGGGACTTAAAATAAATTTTCTCACATTTTTTTCATTTTGAAAATATTTTTAAAATTGAAATCGGTATTAAAAACGGCTTCTGGAACTCAAAATTGGCTAAAAATAACAGATTGGACAAGTTGTCCACAATCTGGGCCTTAACCATGCGAAATGGGCCCCCAGAAAATGGGCCGCGCGCGCATATTGGGCCGCAGACTTCAATTTGGGCTGCTCATAAGGAGAAGAAAGAATTGGGCAGAGGATGCGCATCTGGGTTCGCGGGCTGGGGTTCGGGCTTCGCGGGCCGGGGAGCGGGCTTCTGCTACTGAATGGAATGCGGGCTGAGCGCGGGCCCGCGCGTTTTCTCCTGCTGGCAACAGAATGGGGCGCTGTGGTTTTTAAAAAAAAATGGCAACCAAGGACCTCACGCACAATACAGCATACGTTACCGTTGCACCACGCGCCTGGTTGTAACATAAGTGAAAAAAAAAGGGCAGCCTGGAAACAAATGAAGAAGACTGGAACAGAGCACGGACTGCAGCAAAATTTCATCCGGCCTCGGATTTCGACAGCGCTTTTGAGCACGACCAAGGTTCGGAAAATCACGAAAATATCAACAATAAACCAAAAGTTTCAGAGGTTCTAAATTATGTAAAATCAGGAAAAATCTAAACGACTACTTACGGCTTGAAAATAGACGAATCGCCAAAAGGACAACGGAAAGGCTCGAAACAAGCGAACAAGACTCCGAAAATAATAAATGAAACCCCGAACGAAAGCATTACCACAGAAGGCAACAGAAATACTCAATTTTTAGATAAAATACCATAGCATTACTCGATATTTTCGAAAACGAGAGTTCGATTATCCACGAAAAATATTCACAACATCCACGATTAAATACACGAACTGAACGAAATCTGACTTCAACAAAGGATTCGAATCATCACACGAACTAGCCAATGAAATAAGCATGAGCAGAGCAGAATATAAAAGGAGGTTCGCCGATTACCTCTCTTCGGAAATTTACGAGTTCGGTCAGCCAACGGAACGAACGGAGCCTCGACGGGACTCGGACCTCTGAACACGGGGCTGAGGGAACTGCTCGCAAACAGCTGCTCGCTGGAGTGGACGCCGGTGAACTGAGTTTCGCCGGAAATAATGGGGTTCGCCGGAATCAATGGTGGACGGAGCCTCTGCTTGTTCGGGGTCGGGGGACGTCGGCTCGCTATTGAGGGCATACGACTGCTGCTCCTCTTTCAGCGACGGCGGATAGGCTGCGCGCGGCCGGCGGGGAAACGGAGCTCTCGCCGGAGGAGAAAGGTTCAGGCGAAATAATCATTTTTTTATTCTTTTTGAAAGACGATAAGAACTGAGGGGGAAGAACAGAATTTGAACGATTCTCAGGAGAAATGACCTCCTTGGCCGAGATATATGAAGGTGGGAGTTGATCCTGGCTCAGAAAAATCGCAACAGAAGGGACGCTACGGAGAAGATGTAGATCCGTTGTGCATACGAAAATCAAATAAAAGGGCTGTTGACTTTACATTCTAATGGGCCATAACAATACATAACGAAAATGGGCCAAGGGTATACCAATAACATTGGGTCCGAACAATTAACTAAAAAGGCTAGAAAAAAATAGGGAAATTTTTATGTATCCCACGAGATTGTTAAAATATTACAAAATTACGAGTCGTGCACAATTAATTGTATATATACCCCATAGATAATAATTAATTGCATTGATGCCTAAAACCCATTTACAGTGTCAACCTCCCTTCCTTGTTTGTAGCGCCTGATATGCGGGCAGTTACAAAAAATCATGCATATAAAATATAATAATCAATTATTATTTTGGCACTTGATTTGCGGCTGATAAGAAAATCATTGACTCCATTAATTGGATACATTAAACACATTAGACACAATAAATGATTCACGCAACTTACGTTTTTTATTCTTTTATTAGCCGATTTATGTATCACGTTTTTAAGAGAGACAAATGAAAACATGCATGGTTATTCACGCAGTAGTATATATTGCGTTTATTTTTAGTATATATTCAGTAAATATTGCAACATTTACACTCAACATTTTTAGTATATTTTTAACATCGCATCATGTTAATAGTGTATATTAAGCGTATATTAAACGTTATATTCAGTATATGTATACATTAAACTATAATGCGTTTATAGTTAGTATATATTCAATATATGTTGCAATAATCTTCTATTATACCAAAACAACAAAAAAACAGCAAATTGTAGACGACAATCAGATAAAGTTATGTATATTAACAGTATATAAAACAAGTTGAAATCGTACTCATGTACATATACTAAAAATATACTGTCGACCTTAACATATTCTAAAAACCAGTATATTTGTCGGGAACATATACAAAAAATATAATCATTGTATACAATCGACATAAAAGAAAATAAATCTATGTTGTCATTTATATACAGAATATATACAAAAGATATACAAAAAACAAATGTTATAACAGATGTTGCGTTTATGTTAGTATATATTCAGTGTATGTCGCAATGAAAAAAAAATGTCTTCCATCAAAAATTATATCTTCCTCTTTTTTTCTTCTTTTTTTCTTTTATAAATAAAAGTATATATATAATTTAAAAACATATTATAATAGATTACTTAATATAAAACCATACATATACACAACACGAACAAAAAACATTCAGTTTATGCTAAATATAAATTGATTTTATACATAAAAATTATGTCTCGCGATAAATTCCTTTATCATATACAAAAAATATACTGAATATAAACCATACATATACAAAACAAAAAAATCAGTTTATACTTTGTCAAATTCGTTTTCTAATAAAAAAATCTTCTAATATACCCAACATAAACTATGAATAAACACATTAAAAATGGAAAAAACGAAAATCCATTCACAAACTAATTGTACATAAATAATATACGAAACATAAACTAAGATGTACAATAATTGTACATATCCCTAAGATGTACATGTATGTACATATACTGTACAGTACCAACAAGTGTCGGCTGGCAGTTCGTTTGCTGCTTCTGAACCTTGGACAATTTTTCCCCGAGCACCAAATCCATCTGCGCACAATCGACGCGCATTCAATAGCTGCACAAACCCAAATGAAAATTGCAGTCTTATTAATCACAAAACCACCGCCACCATCAAACCAAAAAAAATAAAAATAAAAAATCGCTTCCTTCTATATTCACACTAGAGACACCAATCCAGATTAAACACCAGTTCAATAGCATCTCAATTAATTACACTGAATTTGAAAAAATCTGAATTATTTAAGCAAGCTAGTTTTCAATCAAGAAGATGAAAACAAAAGGATAAAGAACCACTCACGGAAAATCTCCAACAGCCGCAGATACTCGTTGCCACCGCCGATTACATGTGTAGAGGTTGATCCAACATGAACAGCGAGAATAATAAGGGTTTATTGATTTCTGGATTTTGATTTATTTGAAACCGATGATGAAATTGGGATTTAGGGCAAACGGAGCGGAATTACAAAGCCTCGATCAATCCCAACCCTGATTGAAAGTGTCGAAGGCGGGGATTTCCATCAATCCCAACAGACCACCCGCCACTCATGAGCCGAAAGGGAGCCAAAATTTTCCAACAGGTTTTTCCAACCGCGGCCTTGTTGCAGGGGAATGACGACGGAGGTGATGATGGGGTCGTCGTTGGCAGTGGTGGTTTGCGCCGGCCGTGTTGAGGTGGCAATTGCGGAGAAGAATGAGATTCGACAGGCAGAGTGTAATTGCTCGGAGTATATTAGGAATTTTTGTGTTTTAATCGCCGTGGGCAGTGATTCTGATATTAGGGATTAATTATCCTAATTAATTCATAGCTGATTCACTTTTCATATTTAAATCATAATTAATATAAAATCTAGTATATGTGTAAATATATTGGGGTGATTTTGTATTTTTACAAATAAATATTAGTTAAGTGTAAATATGTAATATAAAATATATTTGGTAGTATGGGGTGTAAATTCCTCAAAAAAATAATTTGCTACAAGCCAACTAAATCCAACAAGGGCCGAAATACTCCCGATAAGTTGGGCCGATCATAAAATATACGTGATAGCAAGAATTTCCGATCGATTCGATTGATGACGAATATCAAATAAAATTACACGACTTATTATATTAATTAGAAAATATCTAATTAAATAATAATAATAATAAGGCTAAATGGAAAAAGTCGAGCAATAATACAATTATAGACAATTAATTCAAATAATAATAATAATAATAATAATGCCAATAAATAATATCATGAGATTACATAAAATCCAAATAATCACATAAATTCTATTATTCGAACGGGTCGCTACATAAAATAACTTTGTATCGATTAAGCAGCCTAACAATAACATTTAGAGAGAGAGAGAGAGAGATAGAAATGTTTAGTGCCACAGAATATTAGAGGTCTAAAGTCTACATCAAAAGTATTACATCGTTATGCATCAAATCACATGAACAGCAAAGGAGTGTTAATCACACCACACACCAATGTCAAAACCCAGACAGAAATTCCTAAAAGAAGCATGTTTATAGACAAAATCACTTTCCAACACAGATTTCAATTTATTTCACCAGTTGTTGTGGACAGTTAGGCATCAGTCTCTCCTGTTCTTCCTCTTCTTCTCTTCCTTCTCACTCGTCATTGTCGTCAAGGGGAAAGCCCTCATCTAAAGCATTTCCGAGGAAAGAATCAAGACTCTTCTTCAAAATGCTGAGTTTGTCATCCTGAATTAAGTGACAACTTATAGTGAAAAATATCTTAACGAACTTTTTCCAAAAGACTAATTTTATAAACATTTGAGATATCATGTACGTCACCTGTTTATTCTTCTTGAGGGATTCCTCCAATTGAGCTATCTTTTCAGCAGTAGCTTTCTCATGTTCAGATAGCATGTACTTCACCTTCTTCCCTGAGACCACATTTTTCAGAATGATTCTTATGTTGTGTCCATTCCCGAGTAGGAATTAAAAAAAAAAAAAAAAACNAAAAAAAAAAAAAAAAAACCCTCTTGCTCACTGGGCCTTTCATAGCGTGCAAATAGCGCCTCTCTCTCTTCTTCATACTTCGTAAGAATAGCTGCAATATCAGGTAATGCAATATCACTGTTGCAAGAAATAGGAATTCATGTTCCTAAGCCATCAATCATTTGGACTGATAACTTAGGAGCTGTGTCCTTATCTACAAATCCTGTCTTTCACTCTAGGACAAAGCATATGGAGTTGGATAAAAGATCAGTGAAGAGGAACATATATCCTACATTCTCACAGGCTTAGGAAATGACTACAATTCTGTAATGGTCTCAGTCAACTCAAGGATAGAACCCTACTCTCTGAGAGAAATACACTCTCCTTCTCAGCCTAGAAAGCAGACTTGAGAGTATTGAAACTGGTTCACTTGCCTCTGATGGATCCTCACCTTCTGTGAACATAATCAGTCAGAACAAGAAACCTCCATTTGGCCAACCATTTAGAGGTAGACCACCAAATCAGTTTGGAGGAAATAGAGTTAGCAGAGGTAGAAGACCTTTTGGAAGAGGCAGAGGAAGATCCTCTTGGAAAAATGCTTGTCAAATATGTCACAGGACCAATCACACTGCTGACAAATGATTTTACAGAGCTGATTTGAACTACACTCCAAATATTAATCCTCAAGGATTCAACTCAGATGGCCAAATCAATATGACTCAGCTGCAGCAGCCAACAGCCAATCAATTTTCAAGCAACAACAGTGTGGCAGATTCATCTCAAGACTCATGTTGGTTTCCAGATTCTGGAGCATCCAACCATGTCACATATGATCTAGCCAATCTCAACATTACATCTGATTATCAAGGAAATGAGAAGGTCCAAAATGGCAATGGAGCAGGGTTGAGTATCTCTCATGTTGGTAGTTCTATAGTCAATTCACAATCAAACCATAATATGCACAGCTTTACCTTGAATAACCTTCTCCATGTTCCTAACATTACAAAGAACCTAATAAGTGTATCTCAGTTTGCAAGAGATAACAATGTTTATTTTGAATTTCAACCTTTCTAGCAAATGTGGAGATGAACACCAACCCTACCTCAAATTTCCAGCTTTCAATAAAAGACCATTCCATGATGTGAATGTAGCTGAAGCTAGGACTAGAAGTAGCTTTTCCATTTGGCATTCAAGATTAGGGCATGCTTCTTTTGAAGTTGTTAAGAAAATTATGCAAGATTGTAATTTCAGTTTCAGCAATGATGAGATGAACTTCATTTGTGAACCTTGTATGAAAGGCAAAAGTCATGCTCTTCCTTTTTCAGATTCCTCTAATGATCATTATGAATTACTTGATCTCATTTACACTGACCTTTGGGGACCTTCTCCCATCATTTCCAGAAATGGCTACAAATACTACATAACCTTTGTTGATCACAAATCCAGATACACTTGGCTTTTCTTGCTTAAATCCAAAACTTGATGACAATTCCTTTATACCAAGTATCATTCCCATTATCAACCATAAACCATCAAACTCCTCTCCTCCTCACAGCCCTCATCATAACCATGCAATATCATCACCAGAAAACACCTCCACACAGTCCATTCATGACCCTAGACCTATGTTACCAAACACCACATTACCTGATTGTGAATTGTTTATAGACTTGCCTATTGAGAATACCTCTGATACTGATCAAAATGCTAATCAACCTAATGATGCTTTACCTGATCAGAATACAACAGGCAGACACCAAATGATAAAAAGATCAAGAACTGGGAACTTGAAACCCAAAAGCTATGCAGCTGCACTTGTGGAAAATATTGAACCAACTTCATATGTGGAGGCAATGAAAATACCAGAATGGAGACAAGCAATGGAAGGAGAGTATAGTGCATTGATTACCTTTCATGCCTTGCATGTGTGCGGAGAAAAGGTCTTGAAACTTCGCAGTCTCGGTCTTCAGTAGACCTTCCCACTAAGCAAATAGAACTCAGACAACTTTAAGCAGCTAATATTATTTTAGGGAACCAGTCCATGCTCATTGAATCTCATTATACCTCTTTCGAGCTCCTTAGCATCCCCTTGGCAAAGCTCTCCCTATGTAATGCACATATAAATATGTCAAATTCACAAACAATACACATATGTCACAAACAATACACATATGAAAAGTAATGCCTCACATTTCTTTCTCCAGCTTCGATTTCAGCGCATCAAACCGTTCTTTCATTTCGGAGGTCAGACTGTTAAAAAATGAATAAAATGAATCAGATCCATAAACGCGTATGAATGAATCTTCCGAGCCTTTTGAGGAGAGATTTTCACCTGGTAATGGTGGCCTCGTTCTTCTGGCCATCCAGCGCAGCCTTCTCCTTCATCTGCTGAAGAGCTCTCAATATTCCTGTAATATGGCTGCATCGGAGTTCCATGATGATGTATTTATGAAAACAGAAAGAGAGTCGGAAATGTATGGCACGGAAATCTCACTCACTTGAAGATGACGGCGTCGGCGTCAAAATCCTCATCAACGATGATTCGCCTCCGCCGGTTGTCATTCAGGTTCTCAGGCTCAGCAGACATTGTTGATGTCCAATCAATTTGCACAGACGAAGAAGACAGAGAGAAAAAAGAGAGACGAAGAAGATAGAGAGAAAAAAGAGAGTCGAATAAGAGACAGAGAAAAAAGAGGGGAAATGAGCTAGTTATTCACAAAATTCTCACAAAATTGTTCAAATAAGACGGACAGAGAAAAAAGAGGGGAAATGAGCTAGTTATTCACAAAATTCTCACAAAATTGTTCAAATAAGACGTCCCTTAAAACTATTGTACAATTGTTATTTGTTGGAATGGATTGTAAGTACTGAATTATTCATTACGGATTCACAAACATGTGTAAATATTTGTATTTGAATTGTTATTCGGTTAACTATCTAATTTAATTTGTTGTTATTTATATAGTGATCATATTCAGTCTATATATTATTAGCTTCCAGAATTATTGTTATTATTAGTTATTGTATGCATGAGTTAAAACTAAAATTAGGTAAAGTTTACCTAGGAGAATACATGAGACATTCATAGTAAAAGGATAAATTAAAACTCACCAATCATATATGAATTTTTCTATAAAAAAAAGACCGAGCATATATAATTTATATAGTTTATAATACAACAGTAATATGTTTGTCCATCTTATTATGTAATTTAATTATGCAATTTTATAATATACTTTTATGAATATTATTATGTAATTTTATATTTCATATATATTAAATCAAATGGGTGATGTTATTAAAAATTGTATTCCCTCTTTTTTCTTAAGTCCGCCCCTATTCAACTCGGTAATAAATTTTAAAATACAAAATAATTTTCTTACTCAAATTTGAGTAAGAAAATTATTTTGTATTTTAAAATTTATTACCGAGTTGAATAGGGGCGGACTTAAGAAAAAAGAGGGAATACAATTTTTAATAACATCACCCATTTGATTTAATATATATGAAATATAAAATTACATAATAATATTCATAAAAGTATATTATAAAATTGCATAATTAAATTACATAATAAGATGGACAAACATATTACTGTTGTATTATAAACTATATAAATTATATATGCTCGGTCTTTTTTTTATAGAAAAATTCATATATGATTGGTGAGTTTTAATTTATCCTTTTACTATGAATGTCTCATGTATTCTCCTAGGTAAACTTTACCTAATTTTAGTTTTAACTCATGCATACAATAACTAATAATAACAATAATTCTGGAAGCTAATAATATATAGACTGAATATGATCACTATATAAAACAACAAATTAAATTAGATAGTTAACCGAATAACAATCCAAATACAAATATTTACACATGTTTGTGAATCCGTAATGAATAATTCAGTACTTACAATCCATTCCAACAAATAACAATTGTACAATAGTTTTAAGGGACGTCTTATTTGAACAATTTTGTGAGAATTTTGTGAATAACTAGCTCATTTCCCCTCTTTTTTCTCTGTCCGTCTTATTTGAACAATTTTGTGAGAATTTTGTGAATAACTAGCTCATTTCCCCTCTTTTTTCTCTGTCTCTTATTCGACTCTCTTTTTTCTCTCTGTCTTCTTCGTCTGTGCAAATTGATTGGACATCAACAATGTCTGCTGAGCGAGTTTCGGAGTCTGAGAACCTGAATGACAACCGGCGGAGGCGAATCATCGTTGATGAGGATTTTGACGCCGACGCCGTCATCTTCAAGTGAGTGAGATTTCCGTGCCATACATTTCCGACTCTCTTTCTGTTTTCATAGAATAAATACATCATCATGGAACTCCGATGCAGCCATATTACAGGAATATTGAGAGCTCTTCAGCAGATGAAGGAGAAGGCTGCGCTGGATGGCCAGAAGAACGAGGCCACCATATCCAGGTGAAAATCTCTCCTCAAAAGGCTCGGAAGATTCATTCATACGCGTTTATGGATCTGATTCATTTTATTCATTTTTTAACAGTCTGACCTCAGAAATGAAAGAACGGTTTGATGCGCTGAAATCGAAGCTGGAGAAAGAAATGTGAGGCATTACTTTTCATATGTGTATTGTTTGTGACATATGTGTATTGTTTGTGAATTTGACATATTTATATGTGCATTACATAGGGAGAGCTTTGCCAAGGGGATGCTAAGGAGCTCGAAAGAGGTATAATGAGATTCAATGAGCATGGACTGGTTCCCTAAAATAATATTAGTTGTTTGTCTTAGTTCTATTTGCTTAGTGGGAAGGTCTACTGAAGACCGAGACTGCGAAGTTTCAAGACCTTTTCTCCGCACACATGCAAGGCATGAAAGGTAATCAATGCACTGTACTCTCCTTCCATTGCTTGTCTCCATTCTGGTATTTTCATTGCCTCCACATATGAAGTTGGTTCAATATTTTCCACAAGTGCAGCTGCATAGCTTTTGGGTTTCAAGTTCCCAGTTCTTGATCTTTTTATCATTTGGTGTCTGCCTGTTGCATTCTGATCAGGTAAAGCATCATTAGGTTGATTAGCATTTTGATCAGTATCAGAGGTATTCTCAATAGGCAAGTCTATAAACAATTCACAATCAGGTAATGTGGTGTTTGGTAACATAGGTCTAGGGTCATGAATGGACTGTGTGGAGGTGTTTTTTGGTGATGATATTGCATGGTTATGATGAGGGCTGTGAGGAGGAGAGGAGTTTGATGGTTTATGGTTGATAATGGGAATGATACTTGGTATAAAGGAATTGTCATCAAGTTTTGGATTTAAGCAAGAAAAGCCAAGTGTATCTGGATTTGTGATCAACAAAGGTTATGTAGTATTTGTAGCCATTTCTGGAAATGATGGGAGAAGGTCCCCAAAGGTCAGTGTAAATGAGATCAAGTAATTCATAATGATCATTAGAGGAATCTGAAAAAGGAAGAGCATGACTTTTGCCTTTCATACAAGGTTCACAAATGAAGTTCATCTCATCATTGCTGAAACTGAAATTACAATCTTGCATAATTTTCTTAACAACTTCAAAAGAAGCATGCCCTAATCTTGAATGCCAAATGGAAAAGCTACTTCTAGTCCTAGCTTCAGCTACATTCACATCATGGAATGGTCTTTTATTGAAAGCTGGAAATTTGAGGTAGGGTTGGTGTTCATCTCCACATTTGCTAGAAAGGTTGAAATTCAAAATAAACATTGTTATCTCTTGCAAACTGAGATACACTTATTAGGTTCTTTGTAATGTTAGGAACATGGAGAAGGTTATTCAAGGTAAAGCTGTGCATATTATGGTTTGATTGTGAATTGACTATAGAACTACCAACATGAGAGATACTCAACCCTGCTCCATTGCCATTTTGGACCTTCTCATTTCCTTGATAATCAGATGTAATGTTGAGATTGGCTAGATCATATGTGACATGGTTGGATGCTCCAGAATCTGGAAACCAACATGAGTCTTGAGATGAATCTGCCACACTGTTGTTGCTTGAAAATTGATTGGCTGTTGGCTGCTGCAGCTGAGTCATATTGATTTGGCCACCTGAGTTGAATCCTTGAGGATTAATATTTGGAGTGTAGTTCAAATCAGCTCTGTAAAATCATTTGTCAGCAGTGTGATTGGTCCTGTGACATATTTGACAAGCATTTTTCCAAGAGGATCTTCCTCTGCCTCTTCCAAAAGGTCTTCTACCTCTGCTAACTCTATTTCCTCCAAACTGATTTGGTGGTCTACCTCTAAATGGTTGGCCAAATGGAGGTTTCTTGTTCTGACTGATTATGTTCACAGAAGGTGAGGATCCATCAGAGGCAAGTGAACCAGTTTCAATACTCTCAAGTCTGCTTTCTAGGCTGAGAAGGAGAGTGTATTTCTCTCAGAGAGTAGGGTTCTATCCTTGAGTTGACTGAGACCATTACAGAATTGTAGTCATTTCCTAAGCCTGTGAGAATGTAGGATATATGTTCCTCTTCACTGATCTTTTATCCAACTCCATATGCTTTGTCCTAGAGTGAAAGACAGGATTTGTAGATAAGGACACAGCTCCTAAGTTATCAGTCCAAATGATTGATGGCTTAGGAACATGAATTCCTATTTCTTGCAACAGTGATATTGCATTACCTGATATTGCAGCTATTCTTACGAAGTATGAAGAAGAGAGAGAGGCGCTATTTGCACGCTATGAAAGGCCCAGTGAGCAAGAGGGTTTTTTTTTTTTTTTTTT